ATATATATAAAGAAATCTTAATAACAATGCAAATTGTGGTTGACAATAAAGTTGATTGATTGATTGAAATTATTATTTTGAGTTTTGCTGGTTGTATTTCCTTTTCTCTTCCTAATTCTTAACACAAATTTGTTTTTAATTCATGCTTCAGTTGCACTTCAAATGCTTAATATCCCAGATTAAAAATTGTCCTCCCCCTTAATGTCTGTTGTTTTGATCTATTGTTTGTATCTTGTGCTCTGTTGTAAAGTCCTGCTAGTGATTGGAGTCAGACGGCTTGTTTGTGTGAAGTCTAAAAACTGATCAGCTACATTCTTGTACATTTCAGATGTAAAAATGCATTCATGTCTATTTCTTTAATGCTCAATTTAAAACTTAATGTTTATTTGTATTCATGCAGTGAAAATCCAGGGCACATCACCAAGCTTTTTAATTTATTTTTTAATTAGGGAAAAATGTGCAGATGTGGATTGGAACTTTAGTTTGCTATAACTTTTATTATTGCTTAATTGTGTTTCCAGTTTTCACAGAGCAATGCTGACATCTGGTGGACAGAGAGAGTAAAGGCAAAGTGTCCAAATTAAGTTTGAGCACAATGGCTAAATGGATCCCATTGAATCAAAAAAACAGATAGTTTTTACTATTATAGAAAAGAAAGATATAAAATTAAAAGATTATAACAATTTCAAATTAACCGTGAGAAAAATAAGTTAACTTTTTGTGTCACAAAGGTTTGTTGTTTTTTTGCCAATCAGACGGAGAAGTTTCTTGTTCTCTTGCAGACGAGAAAGGTCTGGGTTTGTTAGACTTTTCCAGAAGCCTGGGAGCTGGTGCTATATCTGGCTCTGCAGCTGCCCTGGAGGGCCACTCATATGTCAAACCTGCAGGAGAAGCAGCTGAACAACACCAGTTTTACACTATTAACACAGCTTAAGAATGACTGAGACTAACAGGTAAGAGAGCATGTTTCACCCAGTTAATTTGCCTGCTACATGTTTGCTTTATTGCCCATTAGAAATGAAAAAATGATGGACTGCTTATGAGTATATGTGGCAACACTGCATTTAAATATCCTTTTCAGGTCGTGGAAGAACATCACACTCATTCTGTCTGTATTTATCTATTGTTCAGAGTTTCCCCTAAAAGTCTTATTGACCAAATATCATCAGCATTTAAACAGCTTATATACATCATGAACACATTTATTCTTTTTTTCCCTGTTTTATGGGGACTCTCATTGATTCCCATTTATCCATATGGCCTAACCCAGACAATCACATTACTTCTAACCATAACCAACATATGCCTAACGTTGTGCTGTGGCTGTTGTGGCTTTTGCATTAAGGTGACCCTTCAGGGCCTGTGAGAATTCACTCCTTAGACTTAAACCTAAACCCAAACCAAGGAAGAGGACTTTTCCCTATAAGGTGTGAACAATCCTCGTCAAGTAGTGTGAGTTGAGTTTAGGTTAATTTTAGGGTTAGGTATGTATTGGCAATGGATAGGGTAAGGGCAAGGGTCTGGGATAGGCAATAGAAATGAATAGAAGTAAGAGAAACTCCCCGAATGAATAATGTGTCACAGTATGTCTGTGTACTTGCTTTTTCCTACATGATGGGGAGAATTTTCTGTTAAAACGATACATCGTGGAGATCTTCCCCATGTCTCCTTAGGGGAAGTTACTTTTAGGCTGATGTGTCAGATTTTAGACTAAGGTGTGAATTGAGTTTTGATTAGGGTTAGGTACCTGTAAGGGTTAGGGTTAGGGAAAGGCTAAGGGTTATGCTGTAGAAATTGCCTTCAAATGAGTGGAAGTCAATAGAAAATCCCCACCGTAGTAGTGAGACCCAACAGGTGTGTGTAAGCGTGTGCGTAGGCTTTATATTTCTTACATGTGTTGTGCTTTTCTTCTTTCAGAACTGTCCAACAGACCACAGGTAAATCCACGGGCTTTCGCTCTCAGAAAGAGATGTTTGAGAAGTTAGAGGAATCTTTTAAAATCTGCGCCTTCTGTGAGAAGCGACCTGAGCAACTTTCAAAGTCACAGAGCTTGAAGCGCTGTGCCAGGTAAGATAATAAGATTCATTCTGCTATATTCAAAATGACTAATATGCCAAAAGTAAACCAAAACAACAGAAAGCTGGTTGGTCAGGATACATTTAGCATCAAATCCAGAATCTCTGCAGTGTCGCTTTTAGACAGTAAGCCTATGGTTCTGCTCAGGTGTTAAGAGAGCCTATTGTTGCTTTATATGCATTGTTAAGTCTGGTGTCTCATCATCTTCTTTTTGATAATACTCCATCGATCTTCTGTTGGGTTTAAGTCTGGACAGGTTGCTGGCCATCAAAGCAGAGCAAAACAAAAAGATTAAGCTTGTATCGTCACTTTTATCTTTGTGGGCCGGTGCCAAGTCCTGCTGGGGTTTAAATCAGCATCTCCATTAAGCTTGACAATAGAAGGAAGCATAAACTGCTGTGAAATCTTCCTGGCAGACAGTTTCTATGACTTCAAACTCAATGAAACACAGGGGACCAACACCTGCAGATCATCACTGATGGAGGAAACTTCATACTGAACCTGAAGAAACTTAATGGAGATTATGAGCTTTTCTATCACAGGTCCTTGATTTCTAAATAAAAATGTAGACTTTAATGGTAAAGTAACTGCGGACCATTTAGCGACAGTCCTGTTGGGTATTTTTTCTCTAGTCATGGGAAGAAGCTTGTGGTGTTGTCTCTGGTTAAAGTTAGGGTCGGTATTCCTTTTCAGAAACACTTTGTGTTATACTGAGTGAAATGTTCCTTCCGTCCTGAGAGTAGTCAATATCCTATGTATTTAGAAACATTTAAGTGCTGCAAGCCTCTAAAAACTCAAATCCCTACCTGTCTGTCCAAATTGGGGAAAAAAAGCAATCAGAGCCTTCATCTCTTAGACAACTTTTATTGTCATTTTGTATACACAAAGTTTAGACAAAATAAAATTTAATTTAGTACCACTTTCCAGACAGTAACTTAACTGTCTGTATCCCTCCTCTGCTTGCACGCTCAACAGGTTAGGTCAGTCCTGGAAATATTTACAACACTCTTTCGCCAGACTTGTGAGGTTAATTTTTCTAAAAATAACACGCAGAATGCTCAATAATATTATAGTTTACTTACGCTACAGGTGAATGAGACGAGGTAGTTTGGTTGGAGTCCAAAATGTATTGAAAGAAATGGCTGAGTCGACTTCCCTCTGCTTTGCAGAGTTCTGCTGTGAGATACCTGTACAAGTTTGCAAGAAGGCCGTAGCTTTGAATAGAAGGGGGGAGGGGGAGGGCCACTTTCAAAGCTTTTTATCTCTCCAATATTACCAACCCTAGCTATAAGAGGCAGCCTAAAACTCATTTGACACCATGTGTCCTCATTTCATCTCTGTGTGGTTGATATATATCTCCACCTGTTGTGAAATTCCCTCAAATTCTTAAAAATGCTTTACATCACAAATGTTTTTAAACCAAAGCTTTACCTTCCATGCAGCATTTCTGTAAATAGTTCCCTCTGTGATCAGCCAGCTTCCTTAGCAAAGATTTTGAAGCTTAGCCTCCTTGTTAAGAGTATTAATGCACTGAAAAAAAATAATGCAACCGCTTTTGACGTTTACTTAATCATATTTAGTTACTTTGACACAATTGTTTTATGTCCTACCCTGCTAACATGAAACAATGTTGTTAAAGTAACTAAATATAATTAAGTAAGTGCCAAAAATAGTTGCATTACTTTTTTCAGCGTGCTACATAATGCATGATATTCCCTTTTTTCATTTGGAACTCTGAATTTCTCTTTTTGATGCAATTTACTAAGATGCAGCTAGATGTCCATTTATCCATATTTATCCATTCTTTGGCCAGATGTCTAAATGTTTACTACTGCTGTAAAGACTGCCAGAAGGAGGACTGGTCCAAACACAAGAAGTTCTGCTCTCAACTGCATTTAGCTGCTATTGACAGAGTTGTGGAATGGCTTCTGTTCAAAGGTAAAAGAAAGACACGGTTGTTCCAGGTGTGAAAGTGTGAAAACAGCATCACCTCATTGTTTTTCCCTTTATCTCCAGGCGACCTTCCATTCCCAACAGAAAAGTGGTCAAAGCCCCAGTCAGAGATTAAAACATGGGACGACTGGCTTGCCATGCAAGGAGATCTCACTCCCCGTCTAGAGCCCTTTATCAGTGGAGCAAACATGAAGGATTTATGGACCATCGCCGGCAGGCCTCGGCCCAGTGATGATGATCTGAGGCAGTCTCTTTGGAGGGTCTGCAGCGAGTTCTTCTCCAGGCCTCTCACAATAGCCTGGGGGATGAGGCTGTTTGGTCTAAACCCCTGCTCCAAACCTCTCACCATCCACCTAGTGGGTGCAGGGCAAAATGAGACACTGGCAGCCAGGCTGACAGACTACGATGAGTTAAATAACATGTTCCCTGGACACCAGGGCATCGAGATAGTCATGGTAGGGCCAGAATTGGTTGACGGCCCCATCATGAGGCCTCCTCTCAGAGCCTTTGGTCCCAAGCAGAGGGTCTACATCAGCAGCTACAAAGGCCTCTACCATGAATTCTGGGAGGAGCTGGTGGAAAAAGAGGAGGCAGCCAAACCGGACCTGGTTGTTGGATTTAATCCAGGTGAGTAAATGATTTTCCTTGTACAGTGATAGGTTGAAATGTAGTACCACATACTGTACCTCTGGGTTACTGAAAGGTATGTTTGAAATTATTATACCTTAAACAGAAGTACTTGTTATTTCAAAAGTTATTCAGCATCATTTACTCCAAAGTTGAAGTAAAATGTTGAGATGTTTTCTACATGATTTTTTTGTGGATAAGTCTGAAAAAAAAAAAGTCTGAAAAGTGTGGTAAGCACTAATAATAACTTCAACTTTGCACACTTTTAGACCCACTCTGCATATTTGCAAACATAAAAGTTTTGCTATGAAAAAAAAAAAGTTTCAGATTAAATTGGATTTCATTGTGGACTTTGACTAGGCCTTTCTAACATATCCATTTATTTGATTTAAACCATGTAACTGTTGCTATGCTTGTTTGTTTGGGATGGTTGGGCTGGTAGAAGGTGACTTCCACACAGTCCCTAGACTTCAGAAAGCTCCAACAGGTTGCCTTCCAAGGTTGTCCTGTTTTTAGCTCCATTCATCTTCGCTTCAACTCAACCTGCTTTGCTGTCAACATAGAGAAAATAAATACCTACATCAAGTCATTGCCAGCACCATGTTAAGCTTGGGATTTTTTGCTCTTGAAGAATTTAAATCAGTCACAACAGAGTAACAGAGCTTGATACAAGAGCCACCAAATGTTTTAGATTTTTATTCCGCTAAATACTTTGAGAACCATCTTACTAGGGCTGAAACAATTAATTGGATTCATCATGATTAATTGATTAATTAAATAATCGCCAACTAATTTAGCAATAGATTAATCTTTGAGTGGAGTATAGAGAAAGTAAAACATGCCTTTAGCTGACAGAGCGACCCACTTAGAGCAGTAATTGTACCAAGATTGTAAAAAATAAATAAACATTTTGCATTTAAGATAAAGAAAAAATGTGCGTCTGTTCATATGCTTTATCCATTTTGAGTTTCATATGGTTTCATTTAGTAAAAAGTCTTCTTTAAAGAATCTTTGGCTATCTGATTACTGATCTAGTAATCAAAAAAATTATTGACAATTTAATTGATTTGTAAAATAATCGTCAATGGCAGCCCGACATCTAACCCTTTCCTTACACTTCACAACTATGCACTATGTTGTATTATCGTTCTTTGTTATACCGAGAGCTGTGAGAGAGTTTAAAGGAATTAAAGACCTTTCCAAAGTGGAATATGGGAAATTTGTACTTAATTGTTATTTCCTTGATTTTTTCCCAAGGTTTCGATGCGAGTCAAGGCCTTGACCAGGGTTGGCTTCCAACACTTCTGCTCCTCAGAGATTATGACATTCCCTCGATGTTCACAACTCTAAAGTAGGTATCACCAGTTTGGAGAAATCCAAATGGAAATTTCTTCCATGAATTTAAAATCAAATGCAATTAAATCAATCAATATCTAATTCAGTCACCATGCAACTTTTTTCAAATTGTTATCCCTATCTAAAGGAAATTATATTGAATTCTATTGAAATTTGCCACATGTAATTACTTTGAACATTGTAGATAAATATTAGCAATTACAAAAGAAAATATAAATTCAAACAAATTATTTGAAAATTTTTTAGTCACTTCGTATTATTCTCAAGGCTCTTTACAGAGACAACTCAATCAGATCATACAGTCACAAAGGGTTAAGTCTTTTCCCCCGTATAGAAACACATCTGATTGCATCGAGTCACTGAATGAGCACATGTTGACAGATATTCACTTGCCTCATTGAATCTATAGCAAGCCCTAACAGAAACACTCCGTTATAACAGTGAGAAACCTCCAGCAGAACCAGGCTCAGTGTGAACGGCCTTCTGCCAAGGCCGACTGGTGGTTCAATGAGACAGAAGTAGATATAAAAAAGGAACATTTTGTGTGTCTGCACTTATCCATAAATACCTTCTATGTTAGTAAAGGTCACCATAAACTAATTTTATAGCTGGCTTTGTCTTGGGAAGAAACAGCTAAGCTCTGAGCCAGTTTCCATGCCAAAATATATTAAAGTGTGCATACAGTTAGTCACAGTAAAGCATGAGTCCATAGCTACTGTATGTTCAGGAGAGAAATAAGACTGAGCACTGAAAAACAGGCCAAATCTTATCATCTATACTTAGAGAGGTTGATAGCAGCAGCCCAGTGATGTTCGTCCAGTATTGACCCACAGTCAAACAGAACCAGGCCAGATGAAGATACTTTGATGAGAAAAAAGCAGAGAGGACATACAGTTAGAGGTTGAACTAATAAAACTGAGAATTACAGAACACAGAGAGAGTGAAGTAGAATGAAGTATCGTGATCCCTATGTCCTCCAGCAGCCTAAGCCTGTAGGATATAGCTCATTTTAACCTGAACCAGAGGTGGGAGATGTGGTGCTATCAAGTCATCTATGTAATTTATTTGTTCTGCCCAGCCCCTGAAAAAGGTACGTAGATAAGCAGCCATTTAAAATAGCCCCTCCAAGTCAAACGGCAGCCCAATTGAAGCCCTCTTACCTCCAACTCCCAGAGAAATCTCCTCCAACTTCCAGCCACTGGAATCCCCATCTTGCATATTTTTTTCCCCCTGACTCTACCCTTTCACTGGATTGCAGGGTCTAGCCATGAGATGATGATTCTCTTTATATCTTAATGTTCACAAATCATGATAGAAAGAATATTACATCACAAATATTGATGTTTAAAAGGAACTGTAGGGGGCCAGCCAAGGGCCAATCAAGGAAAGCGCGGCAATTGTGAATGGCTACTACTATAAATCCAATCTGCACAATTTTATTCACTGTGGCTGGGCAGAACAAATACATGGAAACTTGTTAACTCCAAATCTCCCACCTCTGACCTGAACTGCCTGTTCTTAAAGATAAAGAGGAGTCTGCCTCATAGACTAAAACTGCTCACTCATTCCACAGTGGAAGAGCCTTATAACTGAAAGGTCTGCTTCCCATTCTACTTTTCGAAATTCTAGAACCACTGATAAACCTGTAGATTGAGAGCTGTTCTGAAGACATCACAGTATAAGTTAGTAGAGAAGAACACAAAAAAGACTTGCAGCTGTAATTGCAACAAAATAATTGATCCAGGTCTACTGATATAAATGAAGGCCAAAGAAAAGATCTAGAAATCCATGCATCCTCTTCTTTCCAGTCCACAGTTATGCTCTATTTTCTGTTGTTTTGTCTGTTGTAATGTGACATGTAACAAGGTTTAAAGAGAATTATTTTTTTGCAATGTTTTTTTTTAATAGCTTTTGTGTCACAGCTGCTAATAAATATCATCTTTCTGCAGTGAGACAGAGATGACATACTCTCTGCAAATCCTGTTAGAGCTGGAGATGGACATGAAAGGAAGTGGAGCCAACCCGTTTTCCTCTTTGAAGCCAGAAGTAGTGGGTTCAACTCCCAATAAGCCTCCTATCTACTGCAACTCACACTATTTCAGCTTTCAGGGTTTGCTAGAGACTGCAGACTTTGAGGAGCCAGAGTAGACCTCAAGGAGGCCTTCCTGAGTAACATTGGTCATTTTTCAAATGGATTTCCTATTAGTTTTCTATAACTAAAACACTTTTATGTCGTTTGTTTTTGGAGAGTTTATACCTGTTTAAACCTGTAGTTCCTGGAGTAAAGCGAAAGAAATTTGCATTTATAATCTCCTTTATATCATGTAAGAGAGGCTTTGTCAAATTTGAATATAACGTGTCTAAACCACAGCCTAGTTGGCAGAGACACATGAAATTATGCTGTTGTCAAATGTTAACTGATATTTAAGGCACCAGTAAAATCATTCAAATTAGAACTCCACAGTGTTTTTTGCTTTTATTCATCATCTAATGATATGAAAATCTCAGAGAAATTTCTGCTAGAAGGTGCTGCAAATGAGTGAATCTAGTATAACAAAGACATGTAGCATTGGTACATTTACGGTTTTACATTTCTACAGGGATTTTAAGGAAAAAAACGCATCTATAATGTAAAGAATGAGATTCAAAATGCTTCCAACAGTAACAGTATTCATATCTGCATATGCACATTTGATACAGGTGTAAGGGTTGTGCTTGGGGCGTTTGTACCCAAAAACTGTCCAAAGAATAACAGCAAGCAGATACAACACCACTGCCACAATGTTAAACACAAATTCAACCAAGCTCAGCTTGAATGTGAGCAGACACTGCAAAAGCTTGAGCAGATTGAGAACTAAGATGACTACAGTGACCAGAAGGCAAACTCCAAAAATAATGGCGCATAAAGTCATCCCAAATGGCTTATAGAACCACTCCCCTCTCACAAAATGGTCCGTGGCAGCAGTGAGAATTATGCAGGCGACAAAAGCCTCCGATATGCGTAGAGTTCCTCTCAGGCTGGTCATGTAACCGCTGGGGAGCTTCATCTTCTGCATGATAGCGTCAATCAGAAAGCACACAGTAGCAGCGAATGAGAAGATGAGACACAGAATGTCTGCGATACAGGTGAGGCAGACGAAAACACAGAGAAAGGCCCCCGTGGCGGAGACGATCATGATGCTACACACCCCGGTCAGCCCAAAGGTAAGATCAGCCCAGTTTGGAAGGAAGGCAGCCAGAAGGATGTGCAACTTTTTGCTCTCCACCACGGCCAGGACCAGGGGCACAATAATGCAGAACACCCAGACAAACTCGCACCAAACGCCCCATGGGACGACCATCCTCCCTTTGCAGATGACAATGATGAAAGCAACAGCGCTGAAAATTATTTCCAGGAGGCGTAAAATTCCCTGAAAGCCTGAGAATGGGCCCCACATGCTGCTTGGATTAGGGTTCTCAGATCCGGAAAGCTTGGGGGATGCTGCAGTTATTCTGTTTCTGCTCGGACTGCAGCTGGACAACTAAGTTCACCATATAAAATAAAAGTCACCACACTCCAACACCCCAGCTTCATCTGCTTAGTATTCAAATTTTCAAAGTTAGTTCCCAGTGTGTATTTATGAAAATGACCAAACAGGCCCTGACCATTGTTGTAAAAAGAGTATATAGATGTCTGGAAACAGAGATATCACCCTCATTTTAAATGGACGCAAAGCACCTGCAGACCAGATAGCATTTGACCTCGTTTGACATTTTTTCATTCGATTTTCACCTTTAATCAATCTGCATCAAACTTTAATCAGTATAACTCCTTTCCTCCATTTGTGTTTTAATTTCCTACTTTCTTCATATTTATGATGCAGCGGGTTTCCATTCCACACAGTGGATTACCTCCCCTTCCCTTTGTTTTTTATGGAAAAAGGAAACCATTCTACTAAATTAACAATTTTCTTTTACTTTCTTTAATTAACTTTCTTCCTTAAAGAAAATAATCCTGACTTCTCCCCTTTAGCACTTTTACAATTTACTCTTGCTTCACATAAAAGAAGCCCCTTGCCTAGTTCTGCAACAATCTTATCAACAATCCCACATTTTAATCATCACTGTAAGAAACAAAGACAAAGGTATCTTACGTTAGGTTATCTCTTGTAACTGTTTTTTTTTATACAGTAGTGCTATGGGAGCAGTCCCAGGCTCATTTACATACAATCTAGAATTCAAACCATGTTGAAACAACTTGGATTTACTTCATCCTGAAGTTACAATAACAAAAAATCTTTAGAAATATTCATTGAAAATAAACAATGGAGGGCACTAGTGAGCATTACATGGATTAGACGCTTTTCTGCGGGTCGCTGTCAAACCCTCACCAAAAATGTATCTTGCTGTGATGACCAGAAAACAGAAGACCTAGAATTCAACCGATACAATGAGAAACGTTTAAACAGTTTATTGACATATTAAACTTTCTCAGTTCAGGAGAGATTCACCAGAGTCAGCGACCGGAACCTCTGGAGGATAAGACAGTTGAGTGACCAGGGAGAAAGACAGGGCATTGTTTCTGAGGTTAAATTCTGGTTTACTAACCTCAGAATTTGGGGAAAAACTTTGATAGTTCCTGACAAAGCCGGTTGGTCTGTGGCGCTACTGGTCAACCTTGAAGGATTGCTGAATCTGTCCAGGTAGGTTTGGAGCAACCCTTCTTTGACAGTTATTAATCCAGGGGAATGCACTGGGTCAGACCCGTGAGAGCAATAATAGGGACAAAGATCCAAGGGACAAACCAGAATATGGAATCTGAGAGCCGGTCCAGTTAGAGCCAGGTGATCAGAGATCCAGAGACAATCCAGGGGGGAATCCGAGAGAGAGGTCAGGGCACAGAAATCAGGTCAGAGATCTAAAAACACACTTTAGCCGCTTTCCCACTGAAAACCCGGGTTTTTCAAAACCGGGTTATCTCGCTAACAATCAGCTTTTGGCTATTTTCCCCATCCCAGCCATGTCTGACCCCCTGCTGGCAAGCTGCGTGGCTACTGTCCCCCACCACTGCGTGTCTAATGACGGCATGATGCTGGGTGAGCGTTGATGATGTCACCAATAATAATGTTTATTATTATTTGCTCTTTTATCTGTCCCAATCCCTCTTACCAGTGATGTGTTGTGTTAACCGAATCTAAACAGAGTTGTTTCGGCTTGCTAGATCAGAAGAGTCTGGCCTGGCGTGTTGACATCTGCATGTTGCGTTCAATGGTGTCATATAACTTAGCAGGTCAACCCGGGTCTGGTGTTCCAACCGCATGCCGATCGAAGCCGAGGCAATTTTAACGTGGGTCGCTTGCCAAGTCCACTGACTTGCCAAGTCCACTGACGGACAGATTGTTACCGGGTTCAAACAGGTTTTTCAGCCTTTGGGAAAGGGGTATATGACAGGTCCGATAGGGTTCAGGCAGACTCAAAGAATCAGGAGGCGGAATCAGGTCAAAATCAGACAGGCAGAAAGAAAGGCAACAGGAACGCTACACTAAACTCACAGATGGCTCGTAATAATCTGGCACTAGTGATAGTCCAAGAGCTGGTTTAGGATCAGGTGAATCTGATGTAGGTGTGTTGAATGATAATCAAACCAGCACTAGTGCCAGTAATCATGACACTTACGTCTCTAAAATATAACAATGGGCAACCCTAAAGCTAGAGGGAAAACTGAACCCAGATTATCTTGCTGAAGAAATCGATACAACAACTTCACTTGTTGAGGAAGAGGACGGCGCTGGTAACCAAGCTGAGCTTTTCATAGATGCTACCACCAGCACCAGCAAAGCAAGCTCACGGATCTGGAGTGAAGCAAAGGAGAGAGAAGCTGATCAAGCAATCAAGATCAGCTGTGGCAAATTTAAGGAGGCGAATGACACAATTTTGGTGAAGTTGGTAACATTTGATCGCCTCCTCGCCTGCAAATAAAGTTGAAAAATTTGCTTTGCAAATCCACTCAGGGACTAAATGTGGCTGTGAGCTACAGGGAAGGAACGCAGTGTAGACAAGCTTTTTTATAACTGTAAAGGGAGGATATAGAGAAAATAATGTTTCCAAAGGATGAAGTGGGAATTTTTTTAGAGGATTTAAAGTGGATTTAAAAAGCTGTTTTAATTTTGCCTTACAAGCACTTGTTGTGCAACTTTAATATATTTATTGTCCCAGTAGAGATGTAAATATCTTATTTAATCAGATATTATTCGGACTGTCATATATTGTTTATGAACACGCCCTACTGGCTGTCTTTTAGAACGACAAATGAAAGTGTGAAACAAGCTCAGTTCATGGTCAAACAGATAATTATGCACATACATGGGATAAATTCACCCCAACTTCAGTTCAAAATATAAGAGTTTATTAACAAAAATAATTCAGCTTCAAGTAAAACATATTTCAGTTAAACACTCTTGACTAAAAACTAGTGAAACTCATCTCAATTAAGCTACTATATACAAAGAGGAAAGAAAAACATGATTAAAAACCATAGTCAATGAGATGATAAGATGATAGTGTTTTAGAACTAAAATATATTTTGAAGAAGTAGGGATGTGATCAAATTAGGTTTTAAATAATTTAGAGTAATTTGAATGTGTTCAAATCAATTCACAAAAGAAACTCTAAGAGGTGAATAAAACATTATTTAGCCAAATAAGATTTTGTTAAATTATTTGCTTAATCGGGACCCTATAACCTTTAGTTAATTGATTCTTTACCTTCTTTGAATGAGCTAGTAGCTAACAAATGTGATAATTCCCCTTAAATGACTTTTGGTAATAATTTGGCCGGTTACACGTCTGCGCTGTTGTTTATAAAGCTAAACAAGCTTCATTTCATTAAGAGTTTAAACACTAATATGTTCTAATGCATTGTATATATATATATATATATATATATATATATATATATATATA